TGTGTGTGCGCGCGCGCGCGCGCGTGAGCACACACACACACACACACACACACACACACACACATAACTGAAGGTCCATGTGGCCTTGATATAGGGAAGGTATACCTATTTATATGTTCATTGAACATCTATGCTGCCATATACTATCACATGTTGATGCCTCTTGTTGCATGTAAGAAGGAAATGAACAACTTTTTGCTGGAAAAAAAAACCCTTAGAAAACACATCTAAGAATTTTAATAGATTATTTTTCTTCCTTAAATTTCTATAAAAAATCATCTTCAATGTTAGTAGAGGAGAATTCATCAAGAAAATCAATATGGGCAATCTGTTTGTCTAGAAACCTGCATATGTTCATGAAGGTATAAACTGATTTATCAAACTTAATATTTAGTCCTATATTTTTCTTTATTGTTTGTTCTAAAAAAGATTTCTTGTGATAAAATTTAGTGATAAGTCTATAGCTGAGAAAATAAATAAAAGCACTCAGATTTTCAATTAGCCCTAAAAACAGCTTCTCAAAGCATGTTAAAGACAAGAATCACAAAGAGTATTCTAGATCTCCACTTAACATTTTAATTAATTTGCTTCAGCATTTCACTTTCATCTTTAAAATTATCTCCCTTGACTTGGTTAATACTGAGGCTCCATCATGATAGAAACTCTTTCTACACTTGATCTTAGCCAAAAGACCAAGAAGCGATTATAGAAAGTCTTTCAATCAATGCCTACTACTGTAATATCTAAGAGCAAAGAGATTGATGACCTAGAACATACCATCGTGTGCTATGGTTTGTGAGAATGTGTCCTCTACAATTGATAGCCTAGAACTTACCATCATGTGTTGTGGTTTGTGAGAACATGTCCTCTTACATTGACATCTTAGACCTTACCATCATGTGCTGTGGTTTGTGAGAACATGTCCTCTTACATTGACAACTTAGAACTTATCATCATGTGCTGTGGTTTGTGAGAACATGTCCTTTTACATTGACAACTTAGAACTTACCATCATGTGCTGTGGTTTGTGAGAACATGTCCTCTTACATTGACAACTTAGAACTTACCTTCATGTGCTGTGGTTTGTGAGAACATGTCCTCTTACACTGGTGTCTTAGTTCTCAGATTGTCCACACAAAATGAAAAGTGGGTACTGTAACTTGCAAGTTTCAAGGCAACGATGATGGCTAGTATTCTGGTGGTTTGTCCTTGGGAAGGACAAAAGAGAAGAACTGCTTGAATCAGGTAACCTCTTTCTCAGTCACAGTAGTGACACAATATTTATGAACTATTTTCCATACTCAGTTTCCCCTGTGTGAACTCTTCCCTCTCCTATTACATTTGAATGTGTTATAAGGATTCAAATTTGCTTTGGAAATAAATATTTCACAAACTTTTGATCTAAACACTTATAAAGGGAATAGTGTTTAAATCTTATTCTGATTTATTTAAGAACTGAAAGACTATAAAGCAAAAGATCAAGACCAACTCAAATTATAAAGGAGAGCAATGAAACCACTCTAAATTATTCTGTTACTGTTAGTATAGTTTCAAACCAACAATAATAATTCTATGAGAAGAGAAAAATTTCAAAGTATAATAAATACCTTCTTCACTTGGTAATCTAGTTAAGACATGGAATGTTATGAACACTAGAAAAATACTAAACTTGTTGCTAATTTATTCTAATATTTTGATATCAATGTATCTTATATTAAAATTTTGACATGCTACTACAATAAGGATAGTTTACAAAATAAGCTGGTGTTTCTTATCATTATGATGTTCACTTAATGTAAATTAGAGCACCAAAAGCAATAGCTCACCAAAAAATATGGGAGAATATTTTTTCCATATTTAAAACTTTACATAACATTGGTGATAAATTATAAAGTGAGATTTTTGAACCCAATATACTAGAGGAAAGATTGAATTAAAATTTTATTCTCCACATGCTAAATAATATCACAATAATATTTATATGACCAAAGAGTGGTTAAAAACTAGTAAACTAAAAAAATGCTTAGACAAAAGTTAAATAGATTGCTGGGCAGCGGTAGTGCACGCCTTTAATCCCAGCACTCAGGAGGCAGAGCCAGGCGAATCTTTGTGAGTTCGAGTCCAGCCTGGTCTACAAAGTGAGATCCAGGACAGGCTCCAAAGCTACACAGAGGAGCCCTGTCTCGAAAAACCAAAAAAAAAGTTAAAAAAATCTATCAGGTGGTAAATTGATTTAAATATATTATTTTGTAGATCATGTGAAGTTTTTCTGAGGTTGGAGAGGTGGCTTAGTGGCTAAGAACATTTGTTCTTATTTTAGAGGACCAGTGTTTGGTTCCCAACACCAACACAGTGTCTTATAGTCATTTGAAACTACAGTTCCAGAGGATCTATCCTCTGGCCTCCATGGGCATTAGGCATGCAATCAGTACACTTACATGCAAGCAAAAAACACATAAACACATAAAATTGCAATAAATACACTTTTAAAAATGTCTTAATTTTCAGCTTTTTATACAGTCATTTGCTTTTATTTCTGTTCATGTTCTATAAGTATATTATGTGACTAAATTAGTATTTTTCAATTTTATAATCTTTTTGTTTAAAAAACATCTTCAAAACATAGAATCTCTAGCTTCAGTTCTGAAGGTCAGGGATTGTTTCAGAAGAGAAAGTTCCTATAGACTGAGACCAGACAGTTAGGTAGGCAGTCAGCAGTTCAAAGGGAAGAAAGAGACAGAAAGTGAGCTTGGGAGGAACAGATACAGCTGCAGTGGAAAAAAAATGGTATACACCTGAGTAAGATAGAGTTGGGAGCATGAAAGAGAAAAGTATGGTATGGCTGGCACTTGACTGAAGCACCACTCACAATACCATCAACTGGGGTTGGATCACAAACATGTGATCTAGCCATTTAACTACAAAGGGCAGCAAAGTTGTGACTCATGCTGTGGACATGATGAACCCTAAAACCATCATGCTAAGTTTCAAAAGGCAAAATACAGAAGATACAATAGTATGATGGCTTTTTATAAGATATCCTGTCTAGGTAAATTCCTAGAGATGGAGGGTAGATTCATTCATAGACACTAAGGAATAAAAGAATGAGGAAGTAAGAGTGGGAAATAACTGAATAATAGTCCTTTGAGAAACGTTTTGGACCACTGACATCTATATAGTAATATAAAAATGTTTTATTTTTGATTTGAGAATTTCATACATGTATACATTGAAATATGATCCAACTCCCACCAGATCCCCCTCAACAAGCCCCCTCCCAAATTCATGTAGTCTTCTTCTCTTCCCGTTTTTATTAACCCACTAAGTCCAGTTAATGCTCCCATATGTGCATGGGTGTGAGGCCATCCACTAGAGCATAGGCAGCCTACCAGTAGCCAGACCCCCAAAGAACGACTCTCCCTCCACACCAGCTATGAATTACCAAGAGCCTCTCAATAAGGAGCGGGGGTCTTTAAGAACCATTCCCTCTGGTGCTGAAATTTTGACTGAATTGACCTCATGAGGGTTCTGTGCAGGTCACCACGGCTCCTGTGAGTTCATGAGTGCAATAACCACAGCATGTCCAGAAGACAGCATTTCAGAGCACCCCACATCATCCTCCAGCTCTAACATTATGTGATCTTCCCTAAGCTTTGATGAGGAAGTGGGGTGACAACAATGTCCCATTTATGGACAAAGACTCATTGTCGCTTTTTCTCAGTACTTGATAACTTATGGTTCTCTGCACTGACTGCTGATCTTGAGGGGGAAAGTGAACTTCTCTGAACAAGGCTGAGAGCAGCTCACATCTGTGGCTGTAAACAAATGTTTAGAAACCAGTTTGACAACATGATGGCGTAAAAAGTCAAAATACCCTTTTCACCAAGCCAAAGAGAAGGTCTTGAAAGCCAAAAAGGCAGTGCTGAAAGGCATCCACAGCTACAGAAAGAAGATGATCCGATCTGCGTGTCACCCATCTTCCAGTGGCCCAAGACCCTGGGGCTCTAGAGGCAGCCCAAAAATCCTCGAAGGAGCACACACAGGAGAAACAAGCTTGACCGCTATCCCATCATCAAATTCCCCCTAACCACTGAGCCAGCCATGAAGAAGATAAAGGAAAACAACACACTTGTGTTCATTGTGGATGTCAAGACCGACAAGCACCAAATCAAACAGACTGTGAAGAAATTCTATGACGCTGATGTGGCCAAAGTCAACGCCCTGTTAAGGCCTGAAGGACAGAAAACAGCATATGTTCAGACGGCTCCTGATTATGATGCTCTGGATGTTGCCCAGAAACCTGGGATCATCTAAACTGAGTCCGGTTGGCTAATTCTAAATATACACTTTTTTCACCATAAAGAAAAATATTAATGAGATTTGCTCTTCTGGCACAAAGGAGACCTAAAGATCAAGTTCTCCATGCTTTCCAGGTATAGAAAACAAAGAGGTCTAAAATGCCTAGTCAACATTTCACTGAGTTGGCAAACAGGCAGATAGATTATTAACAGTTGCGCTGCTTTCAAGTAAATCATCAAAGTATCCATGCTCTCAGGTGTGTGAAGAATAAAAAAAAGTGCCAAAAAACCATAGAGCCTATGACCTCCCCAACCATGTGCTTTTTTTTAAAACCAGGTTTACAGTACTAGACATAAATGCCCTCCTATAAACCAGGCCTCAGATCCAATCAGAAATGGTTTGTCATCCTGTAATAGTTAAGTCACTATGGTCAAGTGGGAACATCATCCCTGGTTCTTACCCTGCACTGGTTAAGATCACTGATGTCTTTTCTCTCCCAGAAGCCTGGGAGAGTGTCTTCTGGCCCTATAATAGGTAGCCATCAAAGAGGAAGTTTCCTGATCAGTTTGAGATTGGTTATCTGCATCCTATAGTCAAAGTGTGTGTGGGGGCCTCCCTGGATATTTTAGTTTCTTTTCTGTTGCTGTGATAAAGCACTGACCAAAACCAGTTTGGGGAGCAAAAGGGTTTACATGGCTTACAATTCCACGGTACAGTCCATCTTGCAGGAAGTGAAGGCAATGCCGCCTTGGCGTCCCAGGCAAGAATGATGGCAATGAACCTGTATTGGGGTTCATTGAGGAGTAAAGTGGAGAGGAGAAGAGTGATGAAATGATGCTCCAGAGGAAGACTAGGGAAGAACAGAGAGGACACATTTGCACTTGCTTCTTAAATTTATTCCCTCTCTCCATCTCTGTATATATGGATATATGATATATGATAGATAGATAGATAGATAGATAGATAGATAGATGATAGATAGATAGATAGATAGATAGATAGATAGATAGATAGATAGATAGATAGACAGATATAACAGATCCTCTATATATCTTCTGTGACAAGTTTGCTTCATGCATGCTAGCCAAGTGCTCTAATGCTGGGCTACATCCTGGGCTGGTACTCAGCAGCACTATCAACCCTACTTTGTGGTAGACAAGATTGGCATACGGATGCTTCCCTCTCTCAGAATGGGCCAGATTTTAACAGCAACTATTTAAAACACAGTTTTGAAGACAGATATAAATGACTTTGAGTACCATGAATCCAACTATCATTGCCCAGGGTGTTAAGTCTGGGCTGGGTCATTAATCCTCACACACCTGAGAGTATGGATATTTTACTCATTTATTTGAAAGCAGCACAACTGTTAATAATCTGTCTGCCTATCTGTTTGCCAACTCGGTGAATTATTGACGAGGCATTTTGGACCTCTTGGCTTTCTGCACCTGGAAAGTGCAGAGAGCTTGATCCTCAGGTCTTTTTTGTGCCAGAAAAGCAATCGCCTTAGTGCTAACATAGAAACTTGTGTTTAACGTGTGAAACATTTCTGTTTGAGTTTACATCCAGTCAAATAAAAACATCCTAAAACCTCAAACTTACTTCTCACTTATTAAGAAGTCTACTATTGGCAGAAAGGCTCTGGGTCTTACCTCTGTCTGCTTTCTTTCCCGAATCGACGGGTGATTTAATGGAACAGGTCCTGGGGAAAACTGCAGCGTTCACCGACTGCAACAGCCAAGAGTTGGCTGATTTGAGCAATGGGGAAAGGCCTGTAGAGGAGCTGGCATCTAGCCATCAAATCTAGGGTTTGGAAGCACCCTCAAAACTAATCCTCATTCTGCTTTCATTCATTAGTCAGGGCTGCCAAACTGGGATTCTTCTGCCGAGGCTAATCACTCGATGAAAGGCAGGGATAAAGCCGCAACCTGGGGAACTAATGAACGAAGAGAAGAAAATGCATGCTCTCCTGGATTGCAGATTTTCAATTTTCTCAGCCAGCCTGCTCAACTTATAATTGGTTCATCACTCACAACTGCTGAGTAGTGGAGATGGATTGTGGTGGCAGAGGACAGGGAATAAAGGGGACAAGGAGAATATCATAGTCCCTTCCAAACATAGTATCTGAAGTTGACAGAAATAGGAGGAGACATCACAGAATGGAGTCTCCACCAAGCCCAAGGTCATTTTCTTACATGTGCAAACAGAGCTACCCCTCAAATCAGAATCATTAGACCAATGTTACTCTCCCGGTTATCACAAGCCTTTTACATCAACTGAACTAAAATCTGTTGCCTAGCAAAGTTACACGAATTTTGGAACTATTCAGCCTATTTAGAGAATACATTTTGAGTTAAAACCATGAGAATAAAACAAATGAAAGAGGGGGTGTGTATGAAGTAGCAACTATCTTAACTAGTAGGACAGCAGTATATTATCTTCCAGTGGGATGGACCTAGTGATGTAGACACGTATAACATGCATGCCACTATTGCATCAGGGACCACATCGTTCCAGGCCAGTTGTTCCTGGAACTTACAGGAGTCACAACTAGGGAAGCCTGGTGATTGCTTTTCTCCTCCATTAGCTGCCTCAGATCTTTCAGCATTTTGAAAATTGGCTGATAGGGATGAAGCTTCTAAGTGATACTAGTTTGATTTCTCCATGTTTCTACAGCTCTTCTTGCACTTAATGTAATCCTTTGCCCTCCTGGGATGTTGTTGGGGAGGTGTGTGTAAAATATGGTTATACTTGGTTTCCTCTAGGTCAGTGAGGCTTTTGTATTTTAGCCTCTATGTCTAACTACAGAGACCTGGTTCAGTCTCTTGTTCCTGTTGTTTGGCATGAGCAGGGCCATTTTCCATTAGCCTATAATTTTATCTATGTCTTAAGGCCTGGCCCATGGGACCAGACACCAGCAATGGTGTGGAGCTCAATCTACACACATTTCTTTCCTTTTCCCTTCAGAACAACTCTAAGACCATTCTTAATGAGTCAGTCTTCACAAGCTCCTGTCCTCAGAGAACAAACATCTTGTTTTCAAAGCTGTTATTAGAATCTTCTCATTTGGATTAAAATGAAGGGAAACAGATTACTTATCACCAGCCCTGCATCATACAATGTACCAATGATTAGCAACACGCAGCACAGTACACAGCTCTCTTCAATCAATTGTCTCTGATAATCCCCCAAATTCATCTTACTAAATCCTCAAATGAGTGCTAAGTGAAGGATGAAAGACCCAGAATCATAATCTTATTGCATATTCTGTAATAATCAGATATTTTTGTACTCTAGGTCAATGAGGGCTGAGACCATAAAAAAGTTGCTTCTTAGAATTGCGTTTACCTCTAGTTTCTCAATATAGATGAAATAGATGCTTTGTAAATATTGAAAGAGGTTGTAACATTGAGATGATACTGAGATGTCTTAGAAGAGGATGAAATACTATGTACCTATTACTATCTCCCCTGAGAAGTTCATTTATTAAATTACTCATCTCTGTATACTTAACTTTGAGATGTGCTCTAAAGAAAATGCAATTAGCCAAGAGTGATACCCATCACCCAAGAGTTTTGAGCATTTTTCCATCAATGTCTCCAAAGAGAATAGAACTGAGTGTCTCTGTTCACAGTAGATGAGATCTTGTTCGTATACAAGTAACTCAACATTATAGATTCTGTATATCTAAGCATTTAGGAAGCAAGACTACAGACTCAACTGTTTTTATGTATACATGCTATTTAAAAAAGAAAGAAAATGAAGCCAGTTTTAGAGTTCAGTGGAACTAATGTCAAAAAACCAGAACCAAATGTGTGTTTTCAATAAGCCCAATGGTTTGGTGCCTCTTCATGGGCCAAGAAATGGAATTTGATGATGGGAGTCTATAGTGGTAACATGGCTAATTGATTTAAAGTTATTGTTTCAATTATGCATTGAAAGAAATTTTTGCTGTTGAGGCAAATTTGCTCTCCACACCATTTTCATGAAATAAAATAACTAGTCCAAGCTGGCCAAGGTCCAGTTACAATTTTGAGGAAAAGTGTGTTGAAATTCCTTGAATAGTTTATAATCATATTTTTCCCATTTTTAAAAATTTGCCTCTATTACGGGGATTTAAGAGGTGTTAAACACATGAAGCAGTCACGGGTTTCACAGAACAAAGAACTCAGGCATGTGAGGCTGTATCTTCAAGCAGTGTCTACTTAGTATGTTGTGTAGATAAAATAACTCATTCTCTATCTGTCTATCATCTATCTATATGTACCTATCTACCTATCTATCATCTATCAATCATCTATCTACCTATCATGCATCCATCTGTCTATATCTAGCTATTTATCTACCTATCTCTATCCCTCTCTGTCCCTCTCTCTACCCCCTTGTGTGTGTGTGTGTGAGTGTGTGTGTGTGTGTGTGTGTGTGTGTGTGTGTGTGTGTGTGTAATAAAATAGGCAAAGTGTGGCTGATATACTGTGTACCCTAAAAAAACTTATCTGAGGGTCAGAGAACAGAACAGTCACTAGATTAGACATAGAGGCCAGAAAATGGTGGCACACATGCCTTTAATCCTATCACTTGGCAGGCAGAGATCGGTCTGGATCTCTGTGAGTTCAAGGTCACACTAGGAACAGAGCCAGGTGTGGTGGCACACATCTTTAATCCCAGGACTTGAGATCTCATGTCTTTGCTTGGGAAAGACACACATCTTTAATCCCAGGAAGTGATGGCAGGAAGCAGAAAGATATATAAGGCATGAGGACCAGGAACTAGAGGTCATTTAAGCTTTTAGACTTTTAAACTTTTAGCAGCAGTTCAGCTGAGATCCATTTGGATGAGGACTTAGAGGTTTCCAGTTTGATGAAACAAGATCAGCTGAGAAGTTGGCGAAGTGAGGTTAGCTGTAGCTTGTTCTGCTTCTTTGACCTTCCAGCATTCACCCCAGTAACTGGCTCCCCCAAGTTTGTTTGTATTAATAAGACCTTTTAAGATTCGTGCTATAGCAAAGTCCATCTGAAAGTGTTAGAACAGATTTTGTTTGGATGACTTTTCTAGAAATACGTATTATTCATCAAAACACAATTTGAGTTTAATAGCATCTAATTAAAAACAGTATCATTTAGTTCTGATAAACTAAAGAGAAGAAAGCAAAGGAAATGTGAATTACTTGCTTTACATTTATTAATTTTACAAATTATGTCGGGTAAGAATGGCCAGGCATTAGCAGAAGTGTGTTGAACACCATTGCCCTACACAAGTCCCATTACAACAAAATGAATCTCCTCACAGCGCCTTGAACACTCTGATTTTCCCAGCCACATAGCACCACTCCCCACATTCCTCAGCCCTCTTCTTTTCACTTCAGCCATTTCTCCCTGGATGCCTGGTTCCAGTCCCGTCTCTTCTGGTAAGGTTTCCTCATCTCCTTTAACCCAGAAGGACTTTTGCGTGAGAACAACTTTGCTGCCAACACCCTCAGAAGCAGTTCTCCTGTCTCATGCCCCCTAAATACTCAAAAGCACTTGTTAAACACAATGCCAGGAGATGGTGCACACCTTTAATCCCAGCACTTGGAAGGCAGAGGCAGGCGGATCTCTGTGAGTCCCAGGCCAGCTTAGTCTATAAAGCAAGTTCCAGGACAACCAGGGCTAGCCCTAGAAGCTCTATCTTAAAAAAAAAAAAAAAAAAAAAGACATGATGTCTTTATATGTTTATTCTCAAATTGTCTAGTTCACCCATTAAAATTAGGAGTGGGGGGCTGGAGAGAGGGCTCAGTGGTGTACAGCACTTGGCACCTTTGTAGACGACTCGATTCAGGACCCAAATCCACATGGTGGCTCAGAACTATACATAATTCCAGTTCCAGGGTACCTACACCCTCCTCTGGCCTCCACGGGCACAAAGCATGTATGTGGTGCACAGATATACATGCAGGAACGACACTTATACATTTAAAATGAAGTAAACACATCCAAAATCTTTTTAAATGAAGATCATTTTCCTGATCGCCACCACTGTATCCTAAGGCCCTGTTTCACTGCCTGACATGGAATGTGTGCTCAGTAAATCACTGTGGAGTGAATGAATGAAGAGTCCTGTATCTAAATGTAACTGCTGACTTCAAGCTAAAGCCATATGTAGTTTAATCTTTTTTCCTCTCTATCCTCCATTTCTTAGCATTAGAAAGCCACGGCTTTGTGAAGCCTCTCTGCATGCGTCTTGGCTGTTCATAAGCATGATACTATGATTTCTATCTTCTCCTTGTATTTTTACTGCCTTCTGATCATTGTTAATCTTCCTTCCAAGTTTTCTTTGGCTCACACTAGGATGTGTACCTCCATCTTTTCTTGGGTAGTAAAATACCTTCTTGTTACTTACTCTGTAGACACATCCCAGACGAAAACATCAGTCTCTGAACACAGCTCACTAAGGTCCCTAACTAATTATGTGACACAGTAGCCTGCCACAAGCCCTGTCCTACACCCTGATGGGCAGCTTGAAGAGGCCAAAGGAGCAGACTGCTTCTGCTCTGAGGGACTTCTGTTGGTTCTAGTTTTTGAAGCTGCCTTCTGTTCTTTAACCAAGGAAACTTCCCAAACTCTGTAATTCACTTTTCAACTTCAAACACAAGTTCAATGGCAGCTTCCAGATTTATAACTCATGATACTCAAATGTTTCATGGCATTTTACATATGAAAAATTCGGATCTTTGAAAAATGACATCATTGGTTGTAAAAAA